CTGAAGGGATATAAAATTATCTAGACTATCCTCTTTCTTAGCTCTAATAAATAGCATTCTAAATGAGACTTTACAGAGTCTGAGCGCCTTTCTTACTGGGATGATAACAAACCAGCACCTCCTGGTGCAAAACACATGCTTTGGAGTTTTGGGTTTGGTTCTGTTAGTGAGGCAAGAATAATATCCTACCATTAAGTGAAAAGGTCACTGAGCCAAAAGAGAACTTTCGGACAGTTTGTATTTTAATTATAGTTTGCAAATTAACAACCATCTTTTATAAAGGATAGTGTTAGAACTCTGAACACCAGTTTTTACTGAAAGCCTGCTTTGTATCTGAAGGTCTGCATTTTATGACTGGAGCTTTTAATTTAAACCACAGTACTGCTCATTTGCTAGGTTCTTTGATAATGCTTTTGGCAGCTGCTTCCACGAGAATGCTGTATAATCATACCCCATAACCGCACAGGTTAGCAGAGTTCAGAGCCAAGAAAATGATTCTGTTTTGTAGCTTCGAATAAGGTGGCACATAAAGTGTCCAGGTTGTGAATGTGCATCCAGGTAGGCTTTCTTCCTGGCTTTTTGGCAATGTGACAACCACTCAAGAGTGATTTCATTGGCCTCCACAATGAAGTGTGACTGTAGCTTGTATGTTGTATATAATAGAGAAACTGTCAGAGATTGATGAGCTTGGTGTACAGGAATAAGTGTGTCTGTACATTTAGCAAACAGAATTATGTATAAGGACATTATCCATGAATCTGCATGCTGACTTTTGTTGAGGGAGAGCAGCAGCAATTTTTAGGAAATCAAAGAATTTTAAGAGCATGTTAATTAGGAGACATGCTTCTGGGAACTAGTGTGAAGTAACTGCAGCACATATGGGAAGGGAGCTGTGGTTCATTCTTAAACAGGTTGACTTTTGCTGTAAATGTCAATCCTTACTACTTCTGTTTCTGTAAAACACTCTAGAAGGGACATTTTTTTCCCTTACCCAGTACAATGTTTTTGGATACCCTCATTTTTTTTCTGCCAATGACCACCTAGCACAAATGCTCTCCTGGGGGTCTCCCCTGCCTTGCAACCCAGTGTCTCTTTTAAATGTTTGTATTCCAGCTCAGCCAGGCACATTATCATTTATGCTAATGCTCATGCTTTCACTGCAGCAATTTTGTGCAGACTTATTCCCCAGTGGATAATTTTACTGCTGAGCAAATTAGGATGGCAAAAAAATGTCTCTCTGAATCCTAAGCAATTGGCTAACAGACTTGTGCCCTTTCCCTCCACCACACTGCCTCATTTCTGATAGTCTGCATCCAGGTGTAGGGGGAACAGGGGAAAGACATATGATTGACTTACTTTCAGATCAGTAAACTGAAACCAGGTACAATTCCGCCCCCCCCCCACACACACATACACTTTAAGTCCACCTTTCATGCTTATCCCTATCCTTATGAGAAGCCTCCACTTATCCAGTGTTGCTTCTCCCTACTGTCCTTAGCCTGTCACAGTCTACAGGTACTCTGCCTTTCCTCCCTGTTCCATCCCATACACCATCTTCCATGGCTTCTGTGAATTTCCCCACTGAGAGAGGAGATGCGTATGCTGCCTCTTCTCCAGAAAGACATCTTCAAGCAAGACATGGAAGTTCAGAAGATGCACCCTGGCAGCAGTGGGAAGAGAGAGAGACAGTATCACAGATTGCACTGAGTTTTGGGCCCCCCCCCCCCTTTGTTAGAATGAGAATGTCTGGGACTGAGAGTGCAGCATCTCACCCACTAATAAATTCCCATTGCTCTAACTGGGGGCTTTTCCATTGGGTGAGAGTTGCAGAGAGAGTGGTGAAGGCATCCGTGTTTGAGACAGTGCTGTTGATGAAGGGAGACTTTGTCATTAGTTCTGAAGGCTGCCCAGACAGGAAATGAGACTGCATTTGCAAATGGGAAGGGGCATGAGTTTATCTTTTCAATGTATAACAGCTCATAAAACTGGTAGGTTTTTAAAAAACAAACAAACAAACAAAAAAAAAAAAAAAAAACCACCCACAAAGTTGAGGGTGAGACACTGGTTCTGATGAAACAATTTGCATAAACCTTTCCTTGAGGGATAAAAAAACACTAGGAAACGAAAACGATTCTTCTGTTGCTAACGGCTGCACTGTCACTGGAACTGTGGTGATTAAAGTTAGCTGCTAGACATCTTATAGCTCTTGAAATCTTTGCATGTTTTACACTTGTTGAAATAGCATTAAGTATGGTAAGCATCCTTTACATTATCTCTTGCTGAGATTCTAATTCCAATTCCAATTACGAAAAAGAAACTGGCTATGCTACTGTGTCTCAGTGCCTGAAGATAATTAAATTAGAATTTGCTACATTGTTTGGGTATATGGGTCACATTTTTGAAACTTGCAATGTTATTGTTCTCATAGTTGTAGAGAAACTTAACTTGTATCTTGGAAAACTACTCAGTTTGCAAGAGCATTGTTTTCCAGTAGATTTGCTTCCCATCTCGAATGTATTTCATCTTTTCTGGACTGGTGTGCCACAGTCAGAGAGGTGTGTGGGGTGGGCTGTAAATTCACTGCAGTCAAGGTGTGGTGTTAGGTGTAGTGGCTGAAGGGGCTGGGCGCTAGTGGACAAAACAGAGCCCTGAATGTTACGTAGCAAAGGGTTGCCTGTCCAGTCCATTGCCAGTGAGGTTGTCAAGTCACTGGTAGAGAATAGAGCACAGCCTGGCTACAGAAACTAGCCTGCTTGGTGTTCAGGCCAGTCTCCAAGAAATACAGGAATTCCGGTATTTTTTACACACCGATTCAGCTACAAAATTTGCAGGGATGTTACATGAGGCACATGGAGACCAGACAGGCTCCTACCCTGACGTAAAGTGCCTCAGCTTGTGCATTCTCCACCTGAAGAATGGTTCCTGGTAACGACGGGATACCCGTAGGGCACCCTGGGCATAGACCTGGCTGTCAGCTCTCTGAAACACTCCCCTGGGACAGGGAACAGCTCTCCTAGAGAACCCTGTGGTAACAGAAAGGTAAGTACTGTTCAGAAAAGTTGATGACTCTGATTGCATGTATTGTTTTTGGTATCTTTTCCTCTGGTGGAACAGCTGCTGTTGCCACATTGTTTCTCATAGTGTCTGTTAAAGCATAACCGGCTAAAAAAACCAAAAAAACAACAGTGACCTGCACAAAACATGACCTAAGGAAGCAGCTTACCTGGGCAATAACGTGATTGATAGGTTTTATAAATAGTTCTGGCACTCATCCTGGAGTAATTACCTGGTCGATTAGAAATTAAGAGCTATGGTAAGCAGATATTTACTGCAATCAGATTTTTTTCCTCTCCTGTTACCTGAAACATGTACCTGCCTTTTGAAGCACTGTCCAATGGCTAACAACTTTAGCTCAGGTTAGTCCTGTTCCACTGGGATAATGAGCAATTAAGTGAATTGTGATCAAGTCTTCCAAAGCACAAGCTTACGTTGCATCCTGACTTGGAACCCAGGGACCTTTGCAGACTTTTGTCCCAGTAGGGTTGCAGGGAATTTATATGAAGTGTGACAGCAAGGTAAGAGCTGTCAAGAGCTACTGGAAGTACAGTTTGCAATGATGAGGTGTGCATGATTGTCCTCTTCCACAATCTAGTTTTGGAAGGGCAGTGATTAACTGGGAAAAGGAAGCTAACTGAAGATCTGAAAGAACTCCCACTTAAGATGATGCATGTAACAAGAAGAGTTGGAGTTTTAAATGTGATGGAATTGCAAAATATGTAACAGAGGTGAGGTAAAAGTATAATGAAACAGTGTGTTCTTGCATTTTCTTGCTCCTCCAAGACAAAACCCCTCTTTTTTTACTGGCTATGCTCTTACTTCTGAGAGAAAAATGTACCAATATGCCAGTGCTCCAGCAAACTCACTACCCCTAATGTATTTCCTCTAGTAGACAGGAAAAATAAAACACTAATTCCAGTGTAGAGATAAGCATTCTATTTTATTCAAGTTATCTTTAGTGAGTCAAGCCATGCTGCACAGTTTCAAGTTCTGAACAAGCTTAATTAAAACTCACTTTAAAGCTTTTTGGTTTTCAGTGGGAAAGCTGCTTAATAATTTTTAAATGAAGCTTTATCATTAAAATAGTAGCAAGAATATTTAGCCATCCTGCTGAGACACAGAAGGCTACAACTAGCCTTGCAAATAAAATTTGTGTGCCTGATCCCAACCTCTGGAAATACTTAGCATATTCCACGTTAGCAGCATACATATAGAGCAGAGCTTAACAAACACTCTGCAGTCAACAGCTTGAGCCAACTGGTGTATACATTTATTAGCCAGAGGGTGTCAATTCATGGGTCGCTGCAGCCTACTGGTTAAGATTGCCAAAACAACATTAGGTAGTCACCTGCACGTCTGCAGAGGATTTGAGATGGCTGCGTACGTGCTTCCAGCGTGGATGTCAGCTGGACATAACAAGCACCTCTAGTGGGAGGTAAATTGCTATATGCTGGAAAATAAATAAATAAATAAATAAATCCGTGGAGCTACAGTAACACACACCAGATGAACACAAGCATTGACACTTGGCCCTGTTCTCCAATAAGATACAAAGTGCACACAGGCATTAACTGTCCTTGCCTCACCCCGGTAGACCAAGGCATAGAGCCATTCTGCCATCTCTCTTGTAAGTTAAGTTAAAAAAAATCAAATCCATCCTAATTGGTGATAGACTAGAGAGAGGCAACAAGACAGGACCATATCACAAACAGACTAGGTGCACCTGAGCAGCCCAATAAAGGCCACCTTGCAATCTGCTTAGTAGGCTTTGTAGAAAGAGCTTCCCCCTAGGAGTCTGAGCATAAGGCTGCCAAAAAATGGATTATCAAGACATTCTTCTACCCGCTTGTCAGAGAGGATTTTCCTGTGCAGCATGTATGTCTGACAGAAGTGCTCTACTGAGGAATAAACAGAAACCAGCTCAAAGAAAGACAGAAACCAGCTCAAAGTACAGTTTCCCTGACAATGCCAATAAGACTGTGAGACCGTCGACGCTTTGCTCTCTGGATCCTCCTCCCTGCTAGCTGATCTTCATCTGTGGTGAAAGTACTCAGGTCACCACAGCTCTCCAGGTGCAGCAATCCAGGATGACGTCTGAAAGGTAACAGATGGGTACTCGATGTAGCTTGCTGGGCAGGTGTCATCACCTTTAAAAAGAAAAAAAGTCTAAATCAGATTTGTTTTCAGGCTCTTGTTCCATTAAAATAGTTTCTTACCCAACTAGGAAGAAGCTAGTTGTAGTGCTGAGACTAAAACTGCTATTTGTCAAGAAGGCATGGAAAAAGCAATCCCAGCTGGGAAAAGGAGGGAGTGTTCCCCTTTTTTTTTTTTTTTTTTTTTTTCAAATGGCACAAAGATTAGCTCATCCCAAAGCATGGCATGTCAAGTATTGCTTAATAGGAATCTAAATGTTGCTTCCTGCAGAAGCCATGGGACTCTAATAAGCTTCAGGCCAGTGTGATAAATTAAATTCTCATAAGAAATTTTTTTCAGCTGTTCCTGTCAAATTTTTTGAGGCTTTTGTCACCTGTAGGCTGCAATGGGAAATCTCACTTTATCTGCAGAGCCTAAATTAAAATCTTTGATGTGTTTTCCGTGAGAACTCAAATCAAAACCACTAGTTGTAGCAAATCACTTGTACCATACGTGAATCAACTCACCTATCCAAATGGTCTGTAAGCTACTAAAACGTTTGTTTGATGAAGTCTGTAATGTCCGAAACTTCTGAATATTTGTTCCATTAATGTAAGTACATATTTTCTACTTCCTGCTTTTTTTTTTCCTTTAGTACTGGGAGCCAATTACAAGAAGTTGCTTCTAGTGGGATTACCTAAAAATTTATTTGTCAGCCTCCATTCCTTCCAGTTTATAACAGTAAATGCTTTATAACATCTCTTCCCTCTCCCCTGCCATGCTCAGTATAAAACACTGTCATGTTATTTACAGTTCATGATTCTACCACAGAAGACCATCTCCTTCAGCTTTTAAATACACACATATTCAGTCTTCTGAAAACCTTCCTGGCTGTGTGGTTGATAGAACAAGAGACAACATAGCTGCACAGCCTCTCACATACTCTAAATAAAACTAAAGTACCAAAGGAAGCTAATTGGGTCCAAAAACTTTGACACACAAAGCAGAGTGGCAAATACAAACATACTCGCAAACCAAGGCCAGCTTAGTTTTCCACATCACCTGATAAATACAAGTAATAAAACTACCTGCTCAAGGAAGGTGGCACTGGTGATAGCTTCTGCCATATGTTTCTCATCTGATTGTAAAAGAGACTCGGTATTTTCCACCAATTCATGTACGTCAGGGCTCACGTTGCAGGACTGCTCTAGGATCCACGCCACAAGCTGTTCAGTGTCTGCGTAAGACTTGTAGTCTATCAAAGACTGGCGTCTTCCCCCCAAAGCTCTTGCTCTCAAACTCTTCCACAAGGTGACAGCATGGAGTTGTGGTTTTACTTCAGTCTGCGTTGCAACTTTATAGCTGCACACTGGCTCTGAAGACAAAGATCAAACAAAGCAAACAATCCCCTTGGCTCACAGTGCTCTTGAACAAGTATCCCCTGAGATTTCAATTCTCATTCAGTGATGGTGCAGTGCACCGTTTAACCACATAAAACTTAACAGTCTGGCACAGTCAGGGTGGCACACAAGGCTCACTCTGTATTGGATTTACACTAGAGAAAATGCCTGTAAAACAGAGTAGTACATAGCTATATGCATATCACACATCAAAGGGTCTGGAGGGACATTTCTGGGAAAGGTGTTTGCCATTTTGTGTACATCAGTTCCTTCCTCTTTTGTTCTGAATAGACCTGAAACGCACGTTGAGTGCTAATGTTAACATACAGTTATACAAAGCAGGTTAAGCAAAGCTTGAAGGCTTTTATGATCTCTCCTAAACTTTTTGTAACTTTTAGTTATTACCAGTCAAGAGGGCTAGTTACAAAAGAGAAAATACATGATGTAGCAGAGACATAAAACCACACAAAATAGTAAGTGTGATCCAGGCAGGCATGCTCCCAATATTCAAAATAAACGGTTGTTACTAACATGCCCCCTCCCCGCTTACATTTTGTGAGTGCTAACACGTATTGGCAGCTACTATGGGGATTCCAATATCCTCTAATAAAAACTGCAAGAGTCTTGACTAGTGGATTTTTACAACTGTCAACAGAATCAAGGACTCTGCAGACACACTAGCAGTCTTCCCCACAGCAACTGAATTAGATCACTGACACCAAAGTAGCTGCGACAGACTTCATCGGCTCTCCACTGTGGGCTTTTTGTGTTGAGTTTTGGGGTTTTTTGATGCTATGAGGAGCGAGAGAAGGGGTGCAAATTTATAGGCTAATACCAAATACCCAAGCTAATTTTGCTCTAAATTGCTCACATGGACAATTGCCCTTCCAAGCTTTTAGATGCCAGTGTACGAATACACTGAGAAATCCTACGTGCTCCCTCCTCCTTGTTTTCCACCACCCCTTCCTCCTCCCCAAACAAGCAATGCCTGCTACAGGCCCTGTTCCTAGATGTGAAAGCCTAAGGAACAGCTAAGGTGCTTAAGACTAAGGTGTTAGGTGGAGAAGATTTCGCAAAGCACAAACTGTTTGCTATAATGTAGGTACTCTGTTGGGAGACAATAGCTGAATTCTGCAAGTACTTGGTTCAAGGTACTAACCTTCTTAAAAACGTTCTTTTAAGGACTCGTTACATAAACACTGATAGAGAAAATCAAGTCACCTTGAAAAAACCGGCAGTGCAGCACAGAGTCACTTTTAGACCGTTTCCGCAAGGGATTGAAGGCTCTCCTGCGCACTCTTTCTGCAGGCACCGGGCTTGCATTTGAAGGTGAAAGGCTCACTCTGCTGGAAGACTCAGGAATTTCTTCACCTGAGTAATCAGGAATAGTAAAGGTGAAGAAAAAGTAGTCAGAATAAAGCAGATCTGTAGAAGCTGTTATTAGAGATTATTACTGATTTTTTTTTTGTGCCCCCCCCCCCCGCAAAGCTGTAATGATTGGACACAAAAGCCTAGAGATGCATGTATGTGTGCATTTGCCCACACTCACCAGTAACACTGTTCTAAAGCCTGCTTAAATATTTGCAGAAACCTGCTCAGCCTTATACAACTGGAGCAGCAAAAAAAAAAAAAAAAAAACCAAACCCCAACCAGCTTTGCCTACTATAAATCTCACCTTAAACTACCTGATCAGAGAGAAGGGAGCTACAGCTTTCTTGGACAGAAAACAAAATCTCACAGAGCCTGAAATCCTCCTGCATATAAGCAGCTGTACCAAGATATGACAGCACATGGTCACAGAGGTCAGCAACTCTTTGCAGTTAGGTAGCTCATAAATCAGTCACCAGTCCCTACAGGGGAATTAAAAATCTTATTTCATGAGGTTCTTTATTAAAATAACCATTTTCCTGAATTCTTGTGACGTGTTTCATCCTTCCAGTTAACCAACATTCCTCCTTTTCCTTGGAGTGAAATTGTATGCTGTGATTCCCACAACTGCTTTTTAGTGAACAGGACAGAATGAAGCTATGTATTTATCACCAAGCCTGGTTCTGTACCTCCACCTGATGGCACCTGGCATATTACAGGAAAAAATATTCTTGCTCATGCAAGAGCAAAAAGCCAAATTAATGTGAAGAGTCTCTTACTCAGAACATGGCAAATGTCTGTGCTGCTACTCTAACAGAAATGTATTAATTACTGGAGCATTCAAGAAAATTAAGGCTTGGATGATCTATACTTGCTGAGCATAGCACCTCATCTCCTACGCAAATGCAACCTAGAATCTCCAAAGAAAAAGAAACAGTGACACAACCTATATAAAGCAGATACCAGCCTGTAAAGTCAGGAGGTAGGACCCCACAACAAAGTATGGCAGACCAAGAATCAGGGAGGATTAAAGAATCCATCATGAATATAAACTTTTTAACACCAGTGGAGCTGTGCTAGCAGTCAGTCCTTGAGGTACAGTGCTGCTGGTGCTCTAGAGGTTTTTTTTTTTTTTTAAATACTAAACAGATAAATGAACCAATTTCATGATCTTATGATAATTCTTCATAATATTAATGTTTCAGATGTCAGAGATAACTGGCTTAAGCTGATGTGTACTGGAAATGCATACACCTAGCATGTGCTGATATAGAGCAGCTGCTAAGCATCCCCAGCCATCAGTAGAAGGTTGCATGTCTTCCTACTACAGTCAGCAGGACAAGTACCATTTTGTTTGAAAGGAGTGGTTTTGAAGTCAGTAAAACCATTTTACCTGGCATAGAGTCCAGGCTGCAGCAGGCAGCCAGGACTCCCCCGGTTCTGCTGGCAGAGAGTAGTGCATAGCTTTAACTTCCGTCAGGAGCTACACTTAGTTCATCAGTCCTGATGATGCCAAGGGAATCATGGCATCATACCCAAATGCGCTGGCACAACAGACTACCGGCATAACCCAAAAGCTCAGCTTTTATTTATAGACTGTTACTCTACATCAGCTGAGACAGCCCATGGAGTTACTCTGCCACAATTCCAACATATCCCCTCATTTTGTATCTCCCTCCTGCTGTGATTTTAATCCCAGTAGGTGGCTCAGCCCCACACAGCTGCTCGCTCACTCCTCACTCTCCCCCAGCAGGACGGGGAGGAGAATTGGAAGGGCAAAAGTGAGAGAATTTGTGGGTTGAGATAAAGACAGTTGGGGGGTAGGGGGTGGGGAGGGCAGACAGATGGGACACAACAAAACAAACCAAATTAAAACAAGTGATGCAAAAGCAATTGCTCACCTCCAGTTGACTGATGCACAGCCTGTCCCTGAGCACCAGCAACCCTCGAAGACTCACCCCAAGTCTTTATTGTTGAGCAAGACATTATGTGGGATGGAACATCCCTTCAGTCAGCTGGGGTCAGCTGTCCCAGCTGTGTCCCCTCCCAAATTCCTACACACCCCCAGCCTACTTGCTGAGGTGGGGCAGAGTAAAAGATGGAGCAAGCTTCAATGCTGCACAAGCACTGCTTGTCAAGAGCCAAAATATTGGTGTGTTATAAACACTGTTTTGGTCACAAATCCAAAACAGCACCATATGGGCTGCTATGAAGAAAATTAACTCCATCCCAGCCAGACCCAGTATACCTCCCCAAATATAAATAAAAGAAGAGGTACTGCTCAGCATATTTCTTTTTCTTAAATTCACTGCCCTAGGAAGCACTGGCATCTAGAAGTAGCAGTGTTAGTTTTCTTCACTAAGATGCTTGCTTTCTTCTTTATCTGAATTTAACAGCCAGGCTGAGATTTAAATGTCTTTTTATAGGCCTTTTTATTAACAACAAAAAAAAAAGAGGAAAAAAAAGGCAGACAAACCAGTTAAAAAGATGGGGAGGAGGGTACAACTTATCACATGTGCTCAGGTCTGCTTGCTTGCAAAGAAAGTTTTTAAATACAAACAATGCCTCATCATGGCTTTTTTTTTAACCTCTCCTGACTCTCCTTCACAACAGTTGCATTTTCTATAGTATTCTTTTTCTGTTTTCCATTCTCATAACTTTAAGCAGTCACCATGCAGCCCTATGTTTGATATTGTATTTTCATTGTGCTCAAATTGCCCAGAGAAAGCAACAGCAGTTTTGCCACAACTCTTCTGAATTTCTTTCTGGTTATCACAACTGATGAGATATCAGAAGCATCCAAATGCTTGTTTTCAGAGGTTTTGGGCAGACTGCCAGAGTTTAAGGGAACTTTGAAAGACTTATTATTTGGTTAACGTATGGGTTTATATAAATAATTTTTTTTCCTGCCACCACTCAGTAGGGACAATTTCAACTGATAAATTTCACATGAAAGTTCTCCTATAGCTGGAGAATTAAGTTGGCAGAAGAGAAGCCACAGTCAAATAAAAGATTTGGGCTTTTCCCTCACCCCCAAGTGTCTTTACTCTCTATGGTCTTGTGGTGTGAACATTGTACAGATAGGCCCATAGCCATCTGTTGCACAAAAGACAATCTGCCCCATAATGGCAAGTTCAAGTTCAGATGAAAAGTAGAAGAGATTTTCACCAGGGCTGTACTTGAAAAGCTGCCTGTGACTTCTCTGGGAGCCAATAATGTTTAACCGCAAGTGTACACCGCAACAAAGATTAGGCTGAAAACAACTTGGAACCATTTCCATCGTTTTCTAAAACAATGCTGAGCAAAGCTTGATGTGGTCTTTACATGTAGTCTAGCTATGTCATTTACCAGTATGCAGAAACTATCTAGTAATTCTTCCACTGCAGGTGGTATAATAGAGTAATTCCCACATTTCGTTCAACACAGTGCAGCATTATTTTATCCTTTTCCTATTTTCATCAGCAACAAAATGTCAGCGGCACCATCACGTACACAAAACAAATGAAAGCACTGGAGCTGGACATCATTTCTTACAAGGTATGGACATGGAGTCAACAACTAACTTGTAGATTACTAAGAAGGAAATGGTTCGTTCTTTTTGTATCTTAAGAGCAAACAACTTTTTGTATACTTTAAACATCAATCCCTGTTCCTACTGCCCCAAACAATCATGATTCTTTATCTGGCTTGCAATAGGGTGGCTGTCTTTCAAAGACATAATAATGCTGCTGCTACATTATCTCATCTGGGTTGGGTAGAACTGTTCTAGAACAAATTTTAAAATGTACTTTTTACCTTGAGATGCCTCACTGTCATTCACTTCCCCCGAATCAACAACTTCCACGACACTTATTTGTAATGCACCTTCCTGGAATAAAATAGACAAGTTGAAAAATCACAAGCCACCATCTTTTTTCTGGTACTTTCTAAGAACTGCAACGTCCACCTTAGTAAGTGAACACTTTTGCTTAACTGCAGAGCGACTATGTGATATGTGTTTAATTCCACTGCAAAACCAAGACTAGTGAATGTCCAAAATTAATGTTCATCATCCAGGTCAGCCAATTTTATCCTGCTGAGTATCTTCTGGGAAAAAGCACCTGTCTTCTGAAAACACCAGTGAAAAGAGATCAGTGAGCATGGCAAAACTCTGACCTAGTCCCACATGGGAAGAGTGCGGATGCGGAAGGGAAGTAAAGCAAGGAGGCACCACAGGGGTCCTCTAGAATAACCAGCAACAGGTGGTCTCCACAGCGTATTTTGCTCCTTCTCCCATGCTCGGACACTATTTTCCAACTGGGGAAAGCTTTTCAACTGTAAAGGTAAGTGACTAACTAAAATCTTCTGTGAAATTTACAGCAAGCCACATTTGTAACCAAACATACCTGACTCATGTTTACCATGCCTCAGTGCAATCTTACCTTTATACCAGAAAACCAAATTACGCTTTAAACTCCTGTGGGCCATACCTGCTCAGAGCTGTTCTGGCTCCACACAGCTTCGTAAGGAGGAGGTGCATCCGGAGGGCAGAACACATCAACAGCTTTGATTCGTGGTCTGTAATTATGGGGCAATGGAATCACATTAGAGCCAAGCATCTTGCAACAAACACCACCAAGCTGTACTCTGTCAGTACAGCTTTCCAGCTGCAGAAGAACCATCATCAGCTACCAAACTCCACTGGCTTTCCTGTGCCAGCTCAGATTTTGGGATCTCAGTCACAGCTAATGAATTCACCAAGAGCTGCAAGATGTTTTCCCATAAGGCAGCAGGAAATTGCTCTTTAGGAGGTGCCTCTCCAAAGTGTTCACCAGAGCTACAAACATCTTTGGGCAGTATTGCACCTGGGAACCCATTTCAGTTCTACTTCACAGAGATTCAGTTTTGTTTCGAGAGATTCAAATACAGGTTGGTAATTCAAAATGCAATAGCCTAGCTCTGATTTTTGTGAATTACTAAATTCTTAGTTACAACTGAAATCCAAGATACTACCAGTCTCATGTTTTATGTTCAGATACAGCTGCACAGAAAAAGGCAAACTCAAACTAAAGGCTATTTTTGTGATGATGCTTGGCTGAGAATATTATAGTTGATCAATTCATGAAGGCTTGTATGAGGCAAATATACCTCAGGGTTAACCTTACTTCTCAGTTTTCAAAGAGCTCTCAGAAACCTGAAATACAGCAGAAATCCCAAAGACCTTTTGTGGTATCATCTTCCTCTTAGGAGGTAGCTCTGAGAGGGAAGAAAATCAGAGCAGTGCCTGCAGAAACTCTTTTTGACAAATGCCGATTTTGATAACGTAAGTTTACATTACCCCATTAACACTGGAACAAAGTGTGGTGGTCAACAGCAGAGCTGCTGAGGGGACCTTCCACACACAATCTTGAAAGAAGTCTGTGACCCAAAGTGTCTCAGTTTTTCTCTGCTTTGTATTACATTTTAAAGTCCTGATTTGGTACTGAGCAGAAACCTCAAGCAACACACAGAAGCCCAGGCGTTTTGCTCTCTGGACCCATGCCAGGCTTACAGCTGTTGCTAGAGGATGTGGTCTCTCTACAAAGAAGTGTTACACGAGAGCAAGTCCTTCCTCCCCCAGTTTAGGGCTTCTCTGGACACGGGCTGGAGGGAGGAAAGATGACTGAAAATGATTTTCTCGCAAGCTGAGAGGAAAGGGCAGAGTGAATGGAAATGTCTATGGAATCATAGAAATGTCTATGGAAGGCTGCTTACAGAAGAAAAGAATAAAACTTTGAAAAAGAGAACTGGGGAGCACTTTTGTGAAAGGCTCCTGTCAAGGTAATGGAGGTAATGCATGGAGAAATTTCAGGAAAAGAAAGAAAATATTTTGGTAACTGGTCATTGCTTCTTTTAATCTTAAAAATGGGGGAAATATAACACGTTAAAATATTTTTTCATTTCAGCCTATTTCATCTGCCCCTAAAAACTTCAGAATAATTTTGGAGTACAATGGAGATTCATGCTCCACTGACATTACTTATCACATTTTTCCAATACGTTCGTGCTGAGCTTACACTCAATGTAGGCCACAAAACTATATACTACTTGAACCTTAGTTTTGTTCGTAAACATGCCTGATCTGGCCTACCCAGCTCCATCACACCTTGAAAATTAACTTTGCATCCAAGAATTATATCATGCTAAAACTTACTACAGAACATGCAACTAGAAAAATATTCCTTTAAGTCACTTAATATAGAAGTGATTTCCAGGATGTGTACATTTCTCACCCTGTTCTTTATTTCTTAATTTCTACTTTCTCTTTTTATGTAAGCAAGGCGAATTCTTGTGTTAGTCCAAAAGCCAGCAGCTTTTTGAAGTGATGATACAGGAAGGTAGAGAACAGAAGTCAAAGCTTTTTCAGGGAAGCCCACTGCCACGAGAGTGCTCCAAACCATGAGGAGGCTCCATACTGCTGCTGGTCAACAGGACACTGAAGGGGGAAGGCACATCCTCAGCCACCTATCACCCACCTTCTACACTCATACCTCAGCTGAACAACAGCATTAGGGCTTTGGCTTCCCAGAAACTTCAGTGTTTCAACAGCAGGAACACGTTCAGTGGTTAAGAAACAACTGTCAGCAGCATATGGGTCCAATTTCAGACACATACTGAATTTGAGAATACAAGACTTGGAAAAGCAGATTTGCATTTTGGCAAATGCCTCTGGTCCCCAAATGGTACTTTAAACTGGACTGGGGTAGGTTTCTAGACCGCAGGCAATTGGTTTGCTGCCCCCCACGGATAGCCTCTTCCCTTAAATTCACACGCCTTATAACACTCTGTATTTTATTCTTCTTGTGGGAACTCAGCTGTAACTATTAATGTTGTTGTGCCAATCCTGAAAAACAACTTAACTGCTATTTCCTTATTTATGAAATAACAAGATTAGAGGTAGGAGTTGACCAGACATTTGTAATGCTAGTTTGTTTTGTCTACCACTAAATAAGACAAATGTAAATGTTTTCCCATGAACAAACCAATTAATTGGCTTTGCTAGTAGTGCCTCTGGCTCTGGAATTTAAAGGGAGGAGGAGAAGGACTACCTGTTCCAAACATGTCCTTGGCACATGTTTTGATCACCACAGCGTTTCCTTTCTCAAAGGGATGTATCTGTTTTGGAGTCGCCCCAGGTGCAACTTGCAGATGGTGGTTCGCCACTCTGGATGCAGTTCTTGTCACCACCCCCCCCCCCAAAAGGTTTCGGATACAGGCTCCGTGGGAGCGAGGCACAGAAAGCCAGGCCACGGACGCAGCGTGGCGTGCAGGGTACAGAGCAGGCAGGGAGGGGAGGGAGAGGTGTAAGGAAGCTGACTGAGAAAAGGCCAGGTGCCGTCTCAGCGGCTCTGCTGGACACCCTGGATCCAGCCTGGGGTGAGTCATATTTCCTCATCTGCCAAGAACAGAAATTGAGCCTGGCTGTTGCTTTAACTTCTGCACTGCTGCACAACTACTCTGAGCACCTTGAAACAAGTCGCCTGACTTCAGAAAGACGTCACCATCACTTAAATATTATTATCAAGAAGTTTTAACGCAGTCACAGGCAAGGTAGCTACCCAATATTAGACGGCAGAAGCCTCAAATATTGTTCAGTGGCCCCTACTACGCTGAAAATAGACAAAGAGAAATACTGCTGCTGGGAAGGAGATAACCATCTAGAATGACATGCCAGACAAAGAACGACAGCCCCATTTTAAAGCAGGGGAACTGTGACAGGCATATTTCATCAAATACCTAATCTTCCAAAGAGATTATTATACACACCATTCTGTTGTCATAACTAGCTTGAACCAAGACTCACATAGGAAGTTTTCAGTAATGTTCAGAATTCAGCCCCAGTCTTCGGTGGTTTAGATGACTTTTTCATTCTAAAATCTATTCCTGTGCCATGTTACCATTTTCTAGGTAATCCCAGCATCTGTAAAGTCATGCATGCTATTCCTGATGAGAGAGTGAAATAAAATAAACAGTCCTGCACACTGCAGAAAGGAGGAGTTTTAAACAAAAGTGGAGTGATACAGTCTGCTTGAGCATCATGATATTTTTATTTTAGGATGAGAGGAAATGGGCTTAAGCTGCGCCAGGGGAGGTTTAGGTTGGAAATTAGGAAAAATTTCTTCATGGAAAGGGTGGTCAAGCATTGGAACAGGCTGCCCAGAGAGGTGGTGGAGTCCCCATCCCTGGAAGTGTTCAAAAAACGGGTAGGTGTGGCACTTCGGGACATGGTTTGGTCTAGTCTACCCTTGATTGGCTTAGAGTAGACTTGGTAGTGTTAGGTTAATGGTTGGACTGGATGATCTTGAAGGTCTTTTCCAACCTAAATGATTCTATGATTCTATGATTTTAGGTATAAACGTTGTGTGTTCACAGCAGAACAATGCAGCCCCACCTGAGTCATAAACTGATAAACAAAGCTAACCTGCAAGTTGCTGTAAAGAGTGTATAACCACCTGCAGAATGAAGGATAACTAAACCCACAAGTCACCACTGAATTGCAAGAAATACAGACACTGGCAAGTCCCAGGACAGCAAAATAAGTCGATGCTTAATGGACAAGATACATAATTTTTAGCCCTATTCTTCTTCAAAACAACACAACCCCCCCACCCCCAAAAGGTACATTCTAATGTTTCATAAGACTAACTGTACCAAAGAAGGCAGCCTTCTGCAATGTAAAGATTTTCTGCATGTTTTCTCTTACAAGAAAATTCATACAGCTATTATTTTATCCTCCTCTGAATCCTTCTTCCCTCACCTTTGTAGTAATGAATTAAAAAAAACAAAAGGGGGGGGGGGGGGGCAGAGGAAGAGATTACAGTGACTTGTGACCATCCTGCTTTTCTTTCCGATACATGAACTGATCCTCCCACATTCACTCTCACTCCTCCTCCATCCCGCAGCTGCCACTGCAGAGAAGCCAGCAACAACACCAGCTGTGAACCCTGCCTGACCACTCGCACCCGACCACCAAGTACTGAGATAAGGGTAGTGATTACCCGGCCTGCCACTACCATCAAAATTTCGGTCGGCCCTAGCTGCCAAAGGGGAATCACTCTGGCAGGGAGGTCTGCAGGGGACCAGGCTGTCATTCGGGGGTCTCTCACATAAGCCTTGCCAAGGGGTTGCACCTGGCTTTCCGTCACTGCCCTGACCTGCTTCTGACAGCACCATAAAAGTTTTCAGCCAGGTCAAATTGCGGTATTTCTTTTACCCAGAAACAGTTCCTACAGAATCTAAAGTGAAACCACAAAATTATACCCCTCATCCACACTGTATTTATGCTGCCTCCTAACTGAACAGGTTTTGTCTTCCTCCCCCCACCCCCCCACCAAGTCACCAACCTTTTTCAGCTAATATCAGAGAAAATGGTCTTTAAAAAATCCCACGGATTATGCAGTATTTCCAAAGACAGCAAAAGAAAGGAAGAGAGTGTAGAGGTTTACCTGCGACTCACTCGTGGAGTATAATAAAAAGTTCCAAAATAGGAGGGAGGTGGCACAGGTGGGACAAAATCATTAGGATCCAAAATGTGACCTTGGTCTTCAACCTGAAATTCATCCTAGTCAAATGAAATTTCTGTTAAAAACCTTCTGACACATAAAAAATTGCTTAACTATGTAATCTAGTAATATTGCTAGTACTGCTGTTTATAGCAGGCAACGCCTTGCACTCACTTACCATGCACAATCTTCTTGTTGCAAAAATATGTAAGTAACACAGGGCAGCCGCTCCCAAGCAAACTGTGGTGGTGAGAGCATTCAGGGCACAAAGAGCAAAGAGAACTTTCTGAAGAACATGAAGATTATGGAAATTAAAAGATTAACTCAAAGTATTTGTAAATGTCAAAATAATAATAATAATAACAACAACAACAACAACAATAATAAAAAAAACTTAACCAAAACCAAACACAGAAAACACAAGGATGACCATGACAATTACTTCTTAGAAACATATATGATGCAGTCTTCAGGACAGGTAATCTCCAAGATTGGAGTAATTTGCAAAAGCTTGTTTTGCCCTATTGTGTGTCCTGAGAGGGAGATCCAGAAGGGTTTAATACTGCTCAGATGTGATTTATAGTCCACCTATTCCTCCAAGAATTATAAACTTCCTCTTAACTTTTCTGTGGGAAATCCAGATGTGAAATAATCACCATTAAAGAAATGTTAAAGCACTTTTATATTTAAAAATGATGCTATTTGGAAGTTGTATTTTAGCAGTTTGTAAGCCAAGAAAGTCTGAGAAGATCAAAAGACCAGTGAATGCATCAAATCATTACCTAAAATTTACACTGTATTTACCCATGCAATGTTGTCTGAATTCAGCTGTAGTTTTGGTTGCATAAAACACAGAAAGGACAAGAACTGCATATTGGGCCAGCAATGCACAGGTCAAAACGCAGAGGTGAGGGGAAAAAAAAAAAAAAAAAACCAAACCAAACCTGTTACAGAACCATAAAGAGCTGCTGACCAGTGTGGAAGACCGTAAAAATAACAAAATTTTTCACAGTAAACACAGCAGTCACCCCAGCACTGCACTGTCACACCAGTCTGGATATTATCAAAGCAGTCATGTTAAGCAATGTGCACAGAGTACCTTGAGAAGAAGGTGAGCACCACTACACGACTTCATGTGATGTAGATTCAGCACAGTCTCTTCTTCTGTACATTTACTGAGATGAAATTCTTCACAGCAGAAACAAATCTCATTTTCACCCATATCCACCTTTAAAAACATAAAAATCCATTTTTTTAATTTATTAGCTGTTTTGTGCAATATTTTTACCTGCATAATATAAAGTCTATGTGTTAAACTACACCTCTGACTGCAAAGCAGACTGGAAATACAGGCTTGTAAAATGAAATTTGTAGAGTTTGGTATGCCAATGCTTCATGCATTATAAAGCTATATTATGCATACTTCTTATTTGAAAGGAAGCATTACTGATAAGCTCTAGACATTTAAATACAACTTAGTTGTAATCAAAGCTGCACTGATTACTAAGCAATTTTAGTATCCACACTCCTTCAAATCCATAGCAGCCTGGAAATTCTTTCTTTGACTGATGTGTAAGCCACTGTATATGGAGCATACACGTTTTCTTTGATTCACGAGTATATTTTGCATCTCTACGGATGCAATGAAACCCACAGCTGTAATTTCAACCCAGTCAAATCAGTAATAGTTAAATCTGTACACCACTATTGTTTGTAATTTTCAAATCAATGTTGTCATCTTAGCTTTCAAGTAGAAATTCAGTGTTTCTGTATCTAGAGATAATTGGGTTTTTAGCTGTCAAACTCTCTGGAGTCATAGTGTCAAAGGTCTTCCACCTACATAAACCACTCTACAGAATGAATAATTTATGACTTTAGGAATGCCTTTCGGCTGTACCCTATGCTTCCAAGCACAGAGGGCTCCAAAACTCCTGAAATTTTTAACCATCTCATCTGGAATAACATTAACAGTTCTCAGTGCTGCTTCAGTACATAGATACTGGGTGATTCTAGTTTCCAAGTGCTTGTCATCTTGGATCCTCATTGCAATACACGTACTGGCATGTTAAGGAACCAACAATAGCTTTCTGGACGGAATAAATGAATGAAAATAAATATTCAAAGATCTTTCCATAACCTTTAAATTCCTTCATACCTTTACACACAATCATCTTTATCACCAAGTGACCCTGTATCCTTCAATTTCAATTATTCCATGGTTTCTGGTTCATAAATAGGCATTCTTCTACTTCTTACGACACCCATTTGAGAAAAATCTTTTCCATTCTGTCCTTTCTTGTGCAGATTGCTTCTTCCTCAAGTAGAAGTGTTGTGAAAAGCTAGTCTGATTTTGACCTACCTCAGTTTTTTCCTCACAGTTCTTGCTGTAAAGTATCAACACAAATTGTCCTCACCAGGAAAAATAATCCCACCCACAGATTATAGTGACTGAGCTTTTTGTAAGTAGCTCACCAGTACCCACTTAGGCTTTTTTCAAGAGTTTATCTTTGTCACACTACTATAAGAATCCTTTATGCTAGTTCTTAAATGACTATGATATTAAAATCAGCATATAATGCTGGCAAGAGGGATTTTCTAAAGATATATTTGGTACTCCCTCCTACGTGGCCCCATAAAACTGTCTGGAAAGCCTTGTACTGAATCAGCTGTGCCTTCAGATCCTGAAGACAGAGGCCAGCTCTCCAATGAAGTCAAAGAAAACCATTTCTGCGCTAAGTATGCTCTTCTAATGAAGAGCAAAACCTTTCAAAACATATCCTTTTGGGGTCTTCACCTTTAGGAGCTGAACATCTTATGAAGACCCCAACTCAAAAAAACCCAAGTGTGGAGAAACACAGACAATAAAAATACTGTTGTGGATTTCTGTGAGTGTCTTCAGAATTTGAACTGAATCAAGGCCTGAAACAGAGAGGGGTTTTTTTTCCCCCATTATGCTGTAGCTGCATTACTTGCATCTCTACATTAGCATGTTTTGTGATCCCAGCATGGCAAGCTTATGTGGCACGCTGTGAAGAAATACATGTAAATCAGTATGTCTGCTCACCAAATCGCATCTGGGTACACTGGACACGAACTGAATGCCTTGACATGCTAATATAAATCCAGCCAGGTTCAGCAGAACACAGATGATAGACAGCAGAACAAATAGGTTAGCCTGGAACAGCAAAACAAAGTTAACAGCAGTGGGAACAGGATCACGAACCTGACTCAAGGAACCTATGGCAGTGCAAACCCCACTCCCAAACTGAAGCTGGGAACGACACTCCCCTTCTTTTCAAAACTACCCACGACTTCAGTGTCCCAGGGTGTCTTATCTTAACCCAGCAGATGGTTACTCCCAAACACTTTTGTCTTCTCTTCCTCCTTATTCTGCACTAGTTGTGCAGTAATAAAATACATGCAACAACTGAAAAGTACAGGCAGCTAAAGGTTTTTCTGGAGTTCAAAGCATGATTTGCAAGCCAGCCGAATTCCACTGTATGTCATATCCTTCCACTGAGTTTACCTCTCAACACATCTACACCAGTAAAAAACCTGAAAAGGAAACACCTTAAGAGGACATTCATTCTGCACAGAATTTCCAAAACTATTTTGCAGCACAAAAAAATTAAGAATATTTGTCCCAGTACAGTGAGGACAGAGACACTTTAGGGACTTGGTGTTATATGATTTTATTTCCTCCTGACTACTAAAACCAGAATATCTCCATTCATAAATCGGACAATACCTTCAGTTTTATAAACCATCTAAAAAAACAGCCACTGGCAGGAGCAAAAGAGTACTTGAAAAAGGACAAGGAGAAGCAGTGGATAAAATGAAGTCCTACTTTCACGTACACCCTTACAATCTGCAATCTGTGCTTACATGAGACTTGGGATATGGATTTTAAACACATGTAAGAACTTTTCCTGTCCCAATTCATACATGCAAAATTTTTCTGCACTTCAGGAGTGAGTACTATGGGTAAGACTACTACTTTAGAGACAAACAAAAATAACAGATTCCTCTCCTGACATGTTTAAATTTTAAGTACTCAGTCCTACAAAGCAAGTATCAGGTCTTTAATGTCCAAAAGAATCCTTGCTACTAACAATTTGCTCACTCAGATTCCTTTGTATCAAAATAACTTAAATTAAAAATGCAGGAGATTACAAAAAGCGGAGGAAGAGAAGGAAATCATGAGGGGGACAGGCTCAGTTCTGTTCCACATAGCTTTACAGCAGATCAGCAACAAGCACTTCCTAAACATGCACAAAGACAGCAATTGCTTTCAAAAGTAATTTAGCTGATGCACCATGGTTAGCTACCTAGGAAGCTGGACCAAAAATAAATCAAAGCTGTTGCACAAATTATGATCCCATTTACTGAGGTTCAGGGAAAAATAATCATCCCTGAAGGGACAAGAGCCAAAAAGCATTACTGTGCAAGCTCATTCTTTAAATTACAACATCTCATTACTAGTAGGTTTTACAGAAGCCTGACCATAACATTATCACATAAGGTAGGTTTTAACCTCAGAAAACCAACAATTAAAGTAGCTATTAGTACTTCACTGAAGAGGATTGGGACTATTTTGTGTTCGACATACTGAGAATAATCAATATTAAGAGGAACAGTATTTTCTCCTGGCTTTATAAAGATCATAAAACCACAGATAAGAGGTTTTTAATGTTACTAAGCACTTTCATTGCCATTTGGTTTTCTGTACAAACACAGAATTTAATTATTTTTTTGAAATTAACTCTTTGTTCAGCATTCAAATGAATCAATACCATTTCTTATGCTTTTATCTAGATTATCTCAGTTACCCTTTTGATTAAAACTACTTTGAGAAACAAAGAAAACTTCTCATCTATGTTCAACACAGGGCACCGTCAACTAGAAATTAGCCAGTTTTACAAGTGAAATAGAAGCTGTTTCAACATAAAACATCTTTGTAGTACAAATCTCCAAAAACAATATTAAGGAAAACAAGAAGTACATTTGTCCTCTTTCAACTGATGAAGAAATGGAGGTCCTGAGCAAATAAGTTACTTGGCCAAAGTAGTAAGTCAAGAAAGATTTTAAAAAAAAAAAAAAAAAAAAAGGAGGCAAATTCATATATTAGTTTTCTCCTTTGGTAGAGAAGCTGCAATAGAAATGATCCAGTATACAGCTATATAAAAAGTTATATATAAAATCCAGACTCCTAATGTAATTGTCTACAAAATCTTGAATAAAAATCATACAGATTTTTCTAAAGAAACATGTTAAAAGCAAAGAAGAAAAAGGAAGAAAAGGAACATTATTATAAATATACAAAACAAGGGCAATAATGTCTACATTTATGTCCTTATAAATTCTACCACACAAAAATGAAATCTTGATCATTTTTTTATTATGTGTATAGTCTATTTGTGACAGCATAACCTAATATTCAGGCAATCGCATTGATGAGGCAGAAGATAAAAATAATTCTTCGACATACAATCTAAAACACTACCATGATCTGAACCATCACCATAACATTCACTACTACATATCCGATCATGGACAAGAGAATATATTATACTTCAGCATTGAGAGAAAAAATCCTTTTTCTTTCTGCTCCATCACAGGTCAGCATTTTCCCACAATCACTGAGATTGGAAGGGATGTCTTGAGACCATCTAGTCCAATCCCCTGCTCAAGCAGGGTCATCTACAGCAGGCTGCCAAAGACCATATCCCGTTGGTTTTGAGTATTTCTACAGATGGATACTTCACAACCACTCTGGGTAACCTACACCAGTTTTTGACCATCCTCACAGTAAAAAAAGTTGTCTTTTGTGTTCAGATGGAATTTCTTATTTTTTCAGTTGTGCCCATTGCATCTTGTGCTGTTAGCAGGCACTACTGAAAGGTCTAGCTCCCTCTTCTCCATTCTCTCCCATCAGTGATTTGAAGAGATGGAGAAGATCCCCCCGAGCCTTCTCTTCTCCAGGCTGAACAGTCCTAGCTCCAGTCCTTTCATCATCTTCATGGCCCTTCACTGGACTTGCTCCAGTATGTCCATGTCTCTCTTGTACTCAGGAGCCTACAGCTGGACACAGCACTCCAGGTGTGGCCTCACCAGTGCAAGGAGAGGACATAGATCACATCCGTCCACCTGCTGGCAAGTCTCTGCCTAATGCAGCCCAGGACACCATTAGCCGTCTTTGCCACAAAAGCACTTTGCTGTCTC